TGTTCAAGGCCATGAGCCACATGCTGTGCATCGGGTACGGGCAGCAGGCGCCTGTGGGCACGCCCGACGTCTGGCTCACCATGCTCAGCATGATCGTGGGCGCCACATGCTACGCCATGTTCATTGGCCACGCCACAGCGCTCATCCAGTCCCTGGACTCTTCCCGACGTCAGTACCAGGAGAAGGTCAGCAGGGGCGGGAGAAGGAAGGGGTGGGCATGGCAGCTCGGCAGAGGTGGGACAGCCCCGCCTGAGGCTGATTCTGACACATGCCCCTGTTGGGTCTCCATGTCCCTTCCCTGCCTTGTGTCCCTTTGTGCCATGCCCCTGTGTGTAACTGTTTCCTTGTTTGGACCTATGTCCCTGTCCTTGGACTTTTCTCTGCCCACGTCTGGGTTTTCCTGGGACTGTGCCGTGTGTCTTCCCCATGACCCGCTGTCTGCCCTCGTGTCTCTGTGTTTCACCCCTTCGGATCTGCCCGGTGCCTGTGGTCGTCCTTCCACGTGCCCCTCCCCGCCCCGTGGCCTGCCCTGCACCTGGCTCTGTGTCCGCCGCGCACGGGCCTCTGGCTGGCTCTCCAGTACAAGCAGGTGGAGCAGTACATGTCCTTCCACAAGCTGCCGGCCGACACCCGGCAGCGCATCCACGAGTACTACGAGCACCGATACCAGGGAAAGATGTTCGACGAGGAGAGCATCCTGGGGGAGCTGAGCGAGCCACTTCGGGAGGTGGGGCGGGGCCTGTGGGGCGCCCTCCGTGCTAGGGGCTGCTGGTCCATAGGCGCAGCTGCAGGGAGCGGGGCCTGCGGAGGACCGCATCAGAAGCCAGGACTGTGGGGGGCTTATGGGGACTAGGGTCTTTCTGGAAGGTCCTATGGGGAGGGGCCGCAGGGATCTCTGTTTTCGGGGGACAGTCCTGCAGGGGCTTATGGGAGAGCTTTGAAGGCAGGAGCTTAGGGCTTGTCCCAGGCTGACTACAGCATCCCCGTCCTTTGGCAGACCATGGCCCCTGGGGTGGGGCCTCTGGGAACGCATGAGCTCAAGGGGGGCACCTCGGGGCAGGGGGCACCACCAGCTTGACAGGCATCTCCCCTGTCCAGGAGATCATCAACTTCACGTGCCGGGGCCTGGTGGCCCACATGCCACTGTTCGCCCACGCTGACCCCAGCTTCGTCACGGCCGTGCTCACCAAGCTGCGCTTTGAGGTCTTCCAGCCGGGGGACCTCGTGGTGCGTGAGGGCTCCGTGGGCAGGAAGATGTACTTCATCCAGCATGGGCTGCTCAGTGTGCTGGCGCGCGGCGCTCGGGACACCCGCCTCACTGACGGATCCTACTTTGGGGGTCAGCAGGCCTCGGGGAGGATGGGGGGACTGGAGCAGAAGCCAGAGGGCGATTGCTCCCCTAGATCAGGGTCCCTGCCTGGCTGTGTGCAGAACCCCCAGGCCCGCTTACCCAGAGTCTCGGGGCCTGGGGCTCTGCGGCTCTAACTTGCCTCCTAAGGGAGTCTGGTGCGTGGCCAACTTCACGATTTCTGGGCCAGCGGGCTTGTAGAACCCCAAAGCAGTGAAACCCAAGGACCCTAGGAGATGGAGGAAAGACAGGAAAAGAGCCCTGCTGGTCCAGGGGCTTGGGTTCGGGAGCTCCCGGGGGGTATGCCCCCACGGCAGCATACAAGGGTCAGGCCAGGGCCCTGGGGGCCGTTCCACCAGATGCTGCCCAGGGCCGCTTGAGCCTCTGCCCTGTCTTGGACCCCAAACCACCTGCTGCCCTCTGGCCCCCATCGTGTTGCCCTTTGCCCTTGGGCACTGCTTTCCTCGGTTGCCCTTGGACTTCATCCGCTGCCCCTGGCCTGCCCCTTGGGCCAGAGCAGGGGAGTGGGTATGAATTAAATGGAGCGGGATAACCAGGCGCGTGGGGGCCGGGAAGACCCACCGTTAGTCAGCTTCAGTCTGGAGAGAGTGCGAGGGATTGTTAACGGCGCTTGCGGAGAAAGACAACACTTGGGGTTTTTAAGGGACCCTGGTGTGGGTGGGGAGGAGCCTGAGGAGCGCGAGGGAATCTGGGGCCGGTGGTTCTGAGGGCCTTCTCCCACTTCGGACAGAGATCTGTCTGCTGACGCGCGGCCGACGCACAGCCAGCGTCCGGGCAGACACCTACTGCCGCCTCTACTCGCTCAGCGTGGACCATTTCAACGCGGTGCTGGAGGAGTTCCCCATGATGCGGCGGGCCTTCGAGACCGTGGCCATGGATCGGCTGCGCCGCATCGGTGAGACTGGTCTGCCTGCCCCCGGGGTCCTGGCTGTACCCCCGCCCCACCCCATAGCAAGGCACCCCTGCCTCCCACGGCCCGGGCTCTAGGGCATCAGCGTCACACCCCAGCCCACCCTGTTCTCAGCAGATGCCCCCACAAGACCTTCAACACCGTGTCTTACTGTCCTTGTCACTCAGTGTCTCCTGCCCCTGGAGATACGGCCCCGAGTCCCCATGCGGAGAGTCCTCCTTCCCCGAGTACCTGTCCCTGAACCACACCATCTCTGATATGTACTCTTGTACTCTGGGCCCTGACCCTCTTTCTCCATCCCTGCCCCCACCCTGCTGCCCTCCTCTGCCTCCGTCTTGTTCTCCTCCTGCTCTCCGGTACCCAACCTTCCCCTTGGACTCCTTCCCTCTCCTCCTTCTCCCTCTGGGACCCCGTCTAGGCAAGAAGAACTCCGTGCTGCAGCGGAAGCGTTCTGAGCCCAGTCCAGGGAGCAGCGGGGGTACCATGGAGCAGCACTTGGTGCAACACGACAGGGACATGGCCCGGGGTGTTCGGGGCCTAGCCCCAGGCACAGGAGCCCGGCTCAGCGGGAAGCCGGTGCTGTGGGAGCCACTGGTGCACGCACCCCTGCAGGCAGCCGCAGTGACCTCCAGTGTGGCCATCGCCCTGACTCACCAGCGGGGCCCTCTGCCCCTCTCCCCTGACTCTCCAGCCGCCCTCCTTGCTCGCTCTGCTCGACGCTCTGCAGGCTCCCCAGCCTCCCCACTAGTGCCTGTCCGAGGTGGCCCTCTGCTGGCCCGGGGTCCGTGGGCCTCTACCTCCCGCCTGCCTGTCCCACCTGCCCGAACCCTCCATGCTAGCCTGTCCCGGGCCGGACGCTCCCAGGTGTCCTTGCTGGGTCCCCCCCCAGGAGGAGGTGGACGGCGACTAGGACTTCGGGGCCGCCCACTCTCAGCCTCCCAACCCTCTCTGCCTCAACGGGCAGCCGGGGACGGCTCTCCTGGGCGCAAAGGCTCAGGAAGTGAACGCCTGTCCTCCTCAGGGCTCCTGGCCAAGCTTCCAGGGACAGCCCAGCCCCCCAGGCCATCAGTGCCTGAGCCAGCTGCCCCTCGGGGCCCCCAGCTCTCTGCCAACATGTGAAACCCCTGAATGAGGTCTTGGGGGCAGCGGTGTATACCCAAGGGCAGACGCCTCTTGGGGAAGGCCAAGGAGACCTAAAATGTGGCCCTGTGGAAATATCTCCCTTTGCTACCAAGAAGATGGTCTCTGTCCTCAGCTCAGGCCCCCTGCAGCCTGTCTGAGGTCCTCCTAACCCATTCACCCACTCATCAAGTGTACTGAGCGTCCGCCATGCTCAAGAATTGGTCTTCACTGCCAAGTACAATGACTCCAAGGCCTCTGAGGAGGGTGTTCCCTGGGCATGGTCCTGCCGGTGCAGGCTCAGGCCCAGGCCCCCAACTCACCAAGCACAACTCCTTGCCACCACCATCACTGCCAAGCAACTCAAGTCTCTGTTTCCCGCCAGTGACCCTGCAGGTGCTGTCGGCTGCGTTTGTCCTCTGTGTCCCCATCACAGCTGGGCACTGTCAACCCCCTGTGCCTCTGCTACTGTCAACAGATGTCTTGGCTCCCCAGTCTGGGCCTCTGCCTTCACTGCCAAGTGCGGGCCCTCCCCCTCATTACCACCCAAGGGGGAACACTCTCCTGTCAAGTCCCTTGCATTATCTGCCCCCAGGCTAGAACTATCTTTTTGTAGACGGGGTGTGGGGGGCCTCCTCCCTGTGCCCCTGTCCCGCTGGGGTCCCCCTTGAGGCTAAGGGATGGTTGGCACCTCCCTCATTAATGTGCTGGCCTGGATCCCCCCCAGGCAGGGGGCAAGTGGCTAAAATCCTCAGATGTCATTTTTTCTTTCCTTCCTCCCTCCTTTCCTTTCTTGTTTATTATTATTCAATCACATAATAATTGTATTTATTCATTTGCTAGTTTCATTTATCATTAGTTCATTTTATTCAGCTTTCCTTTATCCATCCCTCCCCACTTCTCCTTATAGGGACAGAGGAAGGAGCAGGGCCCCCATGCCAGCTCTTGTGGTCCTGGCTCAGCTCCAACACCGGGCAGCAATCCTGAGCCCTCTCCCGACCTAGGAGCGACCTAGGGAGTGACAGGAGAGCTGCCCCAGAGAGCGGGGAGGAGGACTCTTGCTACTTTTAGGGGTTTTAGCCCCTTCTGAGTTGACTGCTGGTGCAAGAGTGAGGGGAGGACCTGAGGTATCCAAGCCTGGGGAAGAGTAGGCTAGCCAGTACCAAGAGAAATCTCTTGCTCCTCTCCTCTGTCCCCATGCCTGTTCTACAGTATCAGCGAATGGGGACCAGGACCCTAAATCTTTCCTTTTGAGTATAGTGTCCTGGGGTTTTATAATTGCTCCCGAACAGCTGGGTTGAAAAGGAAAATAGAGCTACTCATTTGGGCTCCTGGTTTGTGTGGGGGAGCACAGCATGAAGGAGTTTCTGGGTGCAGGACAAGGCCGCAGGGCATCGGGACCGCAAGGCATGAGGTGGGCAGGGAGGGGCCTGCAAACCCCACAGAGGTTGTAAAGATAGTGACAAGATGAGCCCCCACCCCACTCCCCGTTCTCAGGCTCCCTAGCGCTCATCCAGCCTCACTTCCCCAAAAGGGTGGTGCTTCGATGTCACTGTCCGTCACAATGGAGGAAAAGGGGGCGCTGTCCTGGGGGGCCTCAGATCATCGTGGGGGCCACATCAGAGAATATCAGAATGCACGATAGTGATCTTGTGGGGACTGCCCTGTGCCCCTTGCCCCACACCCCCTGGGTACAGGAAGCCCAGGGGAATCGAATTAACCAGCTAAGCTAGGATTAGGGATCAGAGCATCTTAGGGCCCAGCTGAGAGCGTGGGGCGCAGGGGCTGGTGCTGCCATATGTCCTGTGCTGCTCTGGACACAGCCCTCCAGGGCCTGCGTGAAGGGGAGGGGAGCAAGTGTGGCCTGGGCAGGGGGTCTGTGGGGGGAGGGGGCTGGCTCGTGGGGCATCTCAGGGTACGCTCAGAACTCGCATGATGTTGGTGTAGCCAGACCCAGGTCGCCAGCCTGTCACCACGATCACCAGGTCCCCCACGCGCAGGAAGCCACGGAGCTTTCCTGGCAGGGGCGCAGAGAGAAGGCGACAGTCAGACACTGAGGGACGGAGACCAGCCCTGTTGTGAGAACCGGCCACCACCCTCCACCTCCTCCAGGGCAGCCCTGAGGGGCCCTGGTGATGCTGTGGGGACCGCAACCCCTGCAGGACGCTAGAGCTACAGGCATGTCCCGGGCTGGCGTGGGCTGTGCGGCTAAGGAGTCACACTGTCCACCTCTGTGGCTATGTTGGAAGAAGAGGTGGGGTATGATCAGTCGGGAAATCAGAGTTTCATTCCAGCCTGGGGGAGGGGAGGCCGGGTCCCCCTTGGACTCTCACCTCTTACTCTGGCTGCCTCTGCGGGTAGCACCCAGGCTGACCTCTCCTCTACTGCTCCCCTCCCCAACATGCCCCCCCGGCCCCTGCCTCCTCCCCAGCCTGTCCCCCAACCCCTGGAGGCCAGGACATCTCCATGTCTTTGTGAACCTCTCGGAGAGACTCTGGCACCAGGGGAGAGAAACAAGGCCCTCTGAGTGGGTGTGGAAGGTGAGGTCAGGGGACTGAAGATGCTAGTCCAGGGCCAGGGAGGGCAGAGGGAAGGAAACGTAGACGGCTCACCACTTTCAATGCCAAACTGGACCCGGCGATCCACATCGTCCGCCCAGATGGTCTCCGGAGGGTCACTGTAGAGCAAGGGAAACACCCCCCGGCACAGGTGGGCCTGCCGGGCAGCCTGGGCAGAGCGGGTGACAGCAATGACCACTGCCCGAGGTCGGTACCGGGACAGCAGCTGTGCTGAGCTGAAGGGGTTGGAGAAGGTCTCAGAACAGGGAAAGGGTGTGGAACCAGGAAACGGGTTTGGGTTTCGGGCCCCAGGAGTCGCAAACAAGCTGTGCAGCCCTGGGTGAGCGATCATAGTCCTCAGGGCCCTGCTTTTCCCACCTGTAAAATGGGCATAAGAGCGCCTGCCCTCCTCACCACACAAGGCAGATCAGAGACAATGAAGGACAGAGCAGAGCAGATAATAAGAAACTTCTGGAGAAGCATAAAACCCTTCTGAGAAGGTACCTAGACCTAGTACTTAACTCACAAACGTCTCTTGTTAATCCTTGAAACCCGAGAAAACAGATCTGCAGGGGATCATAGCTGATTTCAGAGCAAAGACTTGGACTAAGGCCTTCTGGGCCCTTCTGCAACACCTCAGCACTTCAGGGCTTGTGGGCTAAAAGCAGGGTCCTAAAGTGTCCTGGCGCCCTTCCAGCCCCCTGGAGCTCACGGGCACGTCCCCCTGCTCCAAGATCTGCCTCTCCTGGCCTCCAGCTGCCTCTCCTTTTGCCACAGAATGATGCTCTTCGTCTCCTACGTCAAGACAAAACCCAAGCCTGGGGCCCATCCCAGCCTGCCCCTGGCCCAGAGCTGTGTCTTGGTGTTGCCAGGGTCCATCTCACCGGCCAGTCGTAGTCAGCACGACGATAGCAGCCGCACAGCACTTGAAGGCGGCCTCCACGGCACCTATGGCGGTGACCTCAGTGGGATCGCGGCTCAAGGGTGCCGCCCGGCGCAGCTCCTCAAACAGCTGCCGGTGATACACAGCAGCCTCTGCCTCCCGAGCTATCTGCAAGCACCAGGAAGTCAGCCAGGGGTGCGGCCCTGGGCCTGGGAGGGGCTTGGGGCCCCGAACCGAGCTCCTACCGCATGCTGCATTTTCACTGCATCCACTGGGAATAGGCCCTTGGCGGTCTCCCCCGACAGCATGATGCAGTCCGCTCCGTCCAGCACAGCGTTGGCCACGTCACTCGTCTCTGCCCGGGTGGGCCGCGGCTTGGTGATCATGCTCTCCAGCATCTGGGTGACATGGGGGATCAGAGCTGGACGACTCCCATCTGACCTGGGACCCTGCCCCAGCTACTTCTCTGCCACCCTCAGAGGACCCCGAAAGCCAGGGTCATGGTCACAAAGTATGTGATTCTGGTTCCTTATCTGAAAATGGGGCTCACAGAATCTCTTCCCAACTTCGTTGTTTGAGGATCAAACATGGGACAGCAGAACATACTTAGACCTGAGGTGTGGGTACCCGCCCTCAGGCATCCCCAACACCCCGAGAAGGCCCAGGGCCCCAAGCGCTCACTCCAGACCTGTGTGGCACAGACGACCGGCTTGCCCGCCAAGTTGCACCGTCCGATCATCATCTTCTGGGCAAGGAAAACCTTCTCGGCTGGGATCTCGATGCCCAGGTCGCCCCGCGCCACCATGATGCCATCGCTCACCTCCAGGATTTCATCAAACCTGGGCGGTTGGGGGAGTCAGGGCTGGGGAAGAGCCAGGAGATTCCAGGGAGAGGAAGACTGGAGAAGAGGAGGGTGGTGGGGATGGCTAGGGCCTGCTAGGGACAAAAACCAAGCCTCACTTCTTCACGCCTTCGTGGTTCTCAATTTTGCTAATGATCTTGATGTGGCGTCCTTCGGGCCCCAGAGCAGCCCGGATGGCAGCCACGTCACTGGCTTTCCGCACAAAGGAGGCAAAGATGATGTCCACGTTATGCTGCACCCCAAAACGGAGGTCCAGAACATCCTGCTCAGACAACCCGGGCAAGTCCACCTGGGCACCTGGCAAGTTCACACCCTTCCGGCTGCCCAGGAGGCCTCCACTCTCCACCTGGGTCTCCAGCCCATCTGGACCTGCAGGCATGGAAAGAGCCCGCTCAGGTCAGGGGTGAGCCAGGGGCATGGTCCCGGAGAGGGAGCCCAGGTGTTGGGACCCCAAGGGATCAGGAACCCATGTCCTAGTGTCTCTCCACCCTCCGCCAGGCCTGCGCACGGAAAAGGCCCCGGGTGGACGTCTGTCCAAGAGATAAACCCGGCAGTCCAGCCCCACCCAGGGTTGAGCCCACAAGTGTGGACCCCAGGAGCCCTGGGGACGGGAGGGGAAGAGTGCTGGCCAGGAGAGAGGGCAGCGGGTCTAGCGGGCTAGGGGACCCAGGGAAGGGAGTATGCCCACGTCCCCGCTTGGCTGGAGCAAAGGCTCATCCGCACCGATTTTCTTGACCTGGAGGGAGATGAGCCCGTCGTCTATGAAGATGCGGCCCCCCACCGACACGACCTTGACAATATTGGGGTAGTCCACCCACACGATGTTCGCGTCCCCCCGCGTCCGGAACGCCGGGTCCACCGTCACCAGCACCCGGGAGCCCTTCACTAGCTCCACCTCGGCCTCCGGGCCCTAGGGGCGGGGCCAGAGTGGCCTTGAGACTCGCCTCTTGCCCCACCCTCCCGCGCCCCGCCCCCGCCCCGCCCCTCGCACAGCAGGGGGGCGACCGGGAAAGCCCGCGGCGCGGGGTCCGACGCTCACCCCCAGCAGGACGCCGGTGCGTATTTCTGGTCCCTTGGTGTCCAGGGCGATGGCCACCGGCCGGTAGCCAAGCGGAGAAGTCGCAAAGCTCTCCACCGCCTCCCGGATGTTGGCCATGGACTGAGCGTGGTACTGGGGACGAGCGGGCAGCGGTGTCCGGGGAAGGCGGCAAGGACCCCCACCACCCCACGCCACCGGCGAGCTTAGCCCCGCCCCCTCCCCTTAGCCCCGCCCCGGACCTCGTGGGAGCCGTGCGAGAAGTTGAGGCGCGCGATGTTCATCCCGGCCTTGATCATTTCCTTGAGGCGCTCCACCGAGTGCGAGGCCGGCCCTGCAGCGGGGAGGCCGCTCAGACCGCCGTCTGCCCGTCCGCGGCCGCCCCGCCGCCCGGCCTTTACTCCGGACGCGACCTCCGCTCACAGGTCAGCCAGCACCTGCTTGTCCGGGGTGCCCGGGGCGGGCGTCCTGAGCGCGGCCGAGCGGGCCGTGTTGGCAGCGGGTGGCCGCGGCGGAGGGGGAGTCCCCCGGCGCGTGAGGGGCACGGCAGGAGGTACCGTGCCCGGTGAGGGCATCTGGGGTCCGTCTGGGCCCGCAGAGCTGAGAGGCCGTACGCACGGCGGAGAGGCGATCTTTGCTGAGCTGGCCGGGCCGCTGGGAGCCCGCCGGACCCGCCTCTCCAGTCCCTGCCCAAAGCCAGCGCGCGCGAGGCCCCTTTCTCAGCTGCTGAAGACGGAGTCGGCGCTGCGCCGGCCTGTGGCACCAGCGGGCGCCCTGCTGTCGATCACGGCCATCAGCACGGACCGCGCGGCTCCTTCCTCATGACATAGTCTCTGAGCCTCAGGACCCCCTCCAGCCACGGCCCTATCCTTTGCTCTTCTCTGCCTCAAAACTCGTTGCAAGGACCCTCCGCGCTCGCAGCTGCGGGCCTCCCTCCTCCCCGCTTCTCCCGGGCTCTCACTCCCTGCGGCGCGGGCCTCTCTGCTGCCGCTCTTCCTGCCAGGGTCGCCAAGAACCTCTGTGCCGTGGCTGAATGCAGGGATCGCTTCTCAGTGCGCATCCCGGCTGGCGGATCCACAGCTCCGGACCCCGCGCTTGCCGCACCTTCCTTACCTGGCGCGCAGGGCATGCCCCCTCTCCTGTTTCCTCCCACCCCGCAGGCCGCCGCGTCTCAGCCCTGGCTCCCGCCCCCCCCAACATTAGCTGCCTCATTCTCCTCTCTGTCGTTTTCCCTTCACTCTCGGGGGTGGTCTCACCTAGTCTCAGGGCTTTAAGTACCATCGACATGCTGATGACTCCCACATGTATATCTCCAGCTCAGACCTCTGCCCCAAACTCAGACTTGTGTATCTGATCACATCTGTAACTGCATGTGCGAAGCCCAACTCCTGATCTCCTCCCCCGGAAACCTCTGCACTAAGATCTTTGCTGCTCCGTTGATAATGCGTCCTTCTAGTGCCTCACGCTGAAAGCCTTGGGCCCCTCTCTGCTCCCCGTCCCCATGTCCAAACCATCTGGAAATCCCATCAACTCCATCTTCCAAATGCTCTCAGAATCTGATCCCGTCTGACCAATGCCACTGCCCCCCCCCACACCTGGTCTGAGCCAGAAATGTCACAGCAGCCGTTCCTGCTCTGGCCCCCAGGGCCACCCTCAACCTCTTCCCAGGCAGTCCATCACAGCATAAGAGCAAGTCACTCTCCTTCCAGCACTGGCAGCCCTCTCCCATTTCTCCAGAGGAAAACTGAACTCAAACTCTAAGAATGGCTTGTAAGCCCTGATCTCCTCCCCTACAATGTTTTCATTTTGCTACTCTTCCCCCCAGGTGGCTTCTAACAGTTCCAGCCTCTTTGACTCGGGGCCCTTGCACTGGCTGCTTCCTTGTCTGGAACCCAACCCCCAACCTTGAGCGTGGCCTCCTCTCATCTCCTTCATGGCCCCCACATGGGGCCGCAGCCTCCTGCCTCGAGCCTCTGCCGCCCCTTGCAATGCTGTGTTCCTTGTGTCCATACTTCCTACCACTTTCTCACATATTAAACGATCTTTTTCTTTGTAAGTTAGTATGTTTGGTATTTATTGTCTCTCCCAGCTAGACAGTCAGCTCCTCAAGGACGGGGATCTTTGTTTACATTACCGATCAGCTCCCAGAGACCCAAACCTTGGCTACCAGACGCCCTGCCAGTATTTGCTGAATGAATGACTCTGTCAAACACAGAGTGGTCTCAGAGGAGACAGCAGGTGGGGAAGCATCTTGAGAAACCTTCGCGGGGTCTCTGAGGGTTTCTCTGATTCTGGGCTGGGGGCACTCACCGATGGTGGCAATGATGCTCGTGCTGCGGGCCGTCACGGGCTCCGAGTCGATGTCCAGCAGGCAAAGGTGCTCGAGAAAGGTGTCTGCCATCGCGGCCGACAGCTGCTGCTGCTGGAAGAAGGCCGTGCCCAGCTCCTGGGTCAGCTGGGCCACGCTGGCCCGCCGCAGGTACCCCGCTGGCCCTGCAGTGGAAGAGGGCTGTGTGGGCCACTGCTGCACCCCAATCCCTTCACCTCAGCACACCCCAAGTCCCCTTTGTCCATGCCAGGTTTCACAGAGCCCTTCCTAGAAGACAGGCACTACACAGACGTTATCTGAGAGATGGGCTTCGCATCCAGGCCTGGCCGGCTCTAGGCTCTGGTTCTTGACCAGCCAGCTCTCCGAGCCCTCCCAGCCCTCACCCCCTGCCCTTCAGCTGCTGGCTTCCCGCAGCCTCAGCCCTTCGCTCTATCTAGTCCGGAGCCGCTGCTCACGCTTGCCCTGTCCCCTTTCCTAAGCTCCCCGTTTTCTTCCTTCCAATTGGCTGGCTTCCCGACCCCCTCCTCTGAGCTTCCCCAGTCCCTTCAATGCCTCTCCAGTCCTAGGATCCCTGTGGCTTGCCCGGCCCTGCCCAGAGGAGCCCCAGTCCCAGCCATACCCTCCATGGCCCTGAGCCCCTGTCCCTGGGGGTCTGCTGCACGCTGTCGGGCTGCGAGAGGCACGCCGGGCTGAGGGAGCAGTCCTGCATGCTGGTTAAAATGTCACGACCAGGGGCCAGAGTCCAGGCAACACGGGAGTGCCCCGTGGCTCCCAGGCTGCAGGATAACCCCCGCCGCCCCGCCTACAGAGGCTGAGATAGAGGCTCGGACCAGAGCCCAAAACTGAACATAGGGGACACTCCAGTGAGCAGAGACCCCCACCCCCACCACCGAGGCCCTCTTGGCCAGCAGCAGACATTGGTCATGTGTGTCCCCACCCCGCTCCTGATTTCCACCCTCATTCCCTACCCTGTTCACTGGCTTCCCCTTTCCTTACCTCCTGGAGCCCCGGTCAGGATGGACTTTGCTAAGTCCCTTTGGGACTTAGAGATCCTTGAGCAAAGCTCTTGGGCGTGTATGTTCTCCTGGCTGGACATGCTTACAAAGCGAGAGGCTGTGGAGAGAGGGGGAGAGAGGAGGACAGAACTGCTGGTCTTATCTAAGGGAGACAGAGAAAAGAAAAGGGGCACACCCAGCGGGCTGTCCCTGTCCCCACAGGGTCCCTCCCCCAACTTGCTGGCTCACCACCCCATCTTCTGGCATACCCCCTCTGTCATCCATTTTTTCTGATAAGTTTCCAACTCATTCATGCTGTCATCAACCTGAATAGAGATTTTGGTGATACGGCCCCCTTTCCTTTGTACTTTGCAGTAGTCCAAGATGAATCTAGGAAGGAGGGGGTTATGGTGGGGACTGGAGCCTGAAGGAAGGGGATGGGGAGCATCGTGACAATGTGCTGGGATTCTCTGGCAGGCCTCTGACAGCATCACGGCCACGGTAACACAGGCCACCATTTGCTCGCTGGCCAGTATTTGCTGAACACCTAGTCTGTGCTGGGTCCCAAGGACGCAATGGTGAGCAAAACAGACAGGGCCTCTACCCTTCTAAGGGATTTCCAGTGTGGGGACACTGACAATGGACAAGCACCACTGGGGCACCAGGCCGGCTCAGTAGCAAGAGCGTGTGACTCTTGATCTCAGGGTCCTGAGTTCAAGCCCCAAGTTGGGAATAAGAGATGACCGATAGAAACCTTAAAAAATAAATAAATAAAACAAGCACCAAAAAAATGAACATACAACCACAAACGTGGTGTTTTTGTAAGGTTTTCTTTTCTCTCTTTTTTTTAAGATTTTATTTATTTATTTGACAGAGCGATCACAGGTAGGCAGAGAGAGAGGGGAAAGCAGGCTCCCTGCTGAGCAGAGAGCCTGATACAGGGCTCGATCCCAGGACCCTGGGATCATGACCTGACCTGAAGGCAGAGGCTTAACCCATTGAGCCACCCAGCTACCCCTAAGGTTTTCTTTTTTTTTTAAGAGAAAGAGTGCTCTTGTATGTGTGTGAGGGGAGGGGCAGAGGGAGAGAATCTCAAGCCGGTTCCCTGCTGAGCCCTGAGCCAGGGCTGGAAGCAGGGATCTGTGATCTCACAACCCTGAGACCTGGGCCTGAGCCACCCAGGTGTGCCCATAAACACAAGCTTTGTAAGTGCTGTTAAGGACTTGACAGGGGCACAGAACAGCAGAGCCACCTGGGAGAGGAGAGAGACATGTGTTGTAGATGAGGTGATTTGGGAAGGCCTCTGACATGGGGAAGTATTTCAGCTGAAACTGGAAGGACGAGAAGGATCTAGTGGGGACAACTTGAAGCGAGCAGTTTTCTGTGGGGTTAGGGGTCTACCTGTGGCGTCTCTGAGGAAGGAAAAGGCCCAGTGCGACAGAGAGAGAAGGCTGCTCTGGCACGGGTGCTTGCAGGGAGGAAGCAGCAGGCTCTGGGCGCACAGGGGCGCGGTCCCTGTGAGGCTGGAGACTGGAAGCAGGAACTTGGAGGGCACCAGTTTCAGCCAGCAGACTGACAATACCCAGCACAGGCTCTAGATCCCTCCAACTGGCGGGTGGAGATCACAGAGCAGCTGCGAGAGTGGAGACTGTAAGAGTGATCTGGGCGGGAGGCGAAGCCTAACGGCAGCAGTAGACACAGTGAGAGGGAGACAGATCTGAGGCTTCTCTGGAGAAGGGCACAGAGGGCAGAGGGACAGATGCGGGGAGTGGGGGAGGGAGGCTTCCATCCCCCGAAGGAGGGTGCTGGGCTGGTGCGAGCAGCTGGGTAGATGGCGGTGCCATTTACCGAGACTGGGGGAAGGACAGGTTTTCAGGGGAAACGTGCAAGGTTTCAGTTTTAGAAAGGCTACGTTTGAGCTGCCAATCAATCGTTAGAATCAACAGGCAGACAGTAGGACCTGTCCACCGAGCACTTGTGGCGGGCTGGGACAGTGTTGTACATCTCCCGGGCAGGTTCTCTATCACCATGACAACCGGGAAGGAAAGGGGGATTGAGAGCTGGTTTGACAGCGAGGGAGCTGAGGCTAGGAGGGTTGGCTAGGCATCTTTTGCCACTCCAGATCCTTTCTCCACCCTTGTCCACTCTGTCTGGGGCTGGGAGGCTGAAGGCCTTGCCCAGGGCTTCTGTTGGGCTTGGCCAGGGGCACCAATAGAAGATGAGATAAGAGGAGAGGAAGGCTGGGGACTTCCCCTCTCCTTCTTCCAGCCAGGTTGTTGGAGGTCACAGCTCCTGCCAGGGACCCTCTCCAGATTCTAGGACCCATTCTCTCCCCATGCTCTGGGCTCCTAAAGGTGGTACTAAGCCCACTGTTATGTAATGCTGTACCCCTGGGGGTTTCGCAGCATCGGTGCACACCGTGGGATATAACCCTGTTAGGAAACATTACTCAGTGTATCTGATTTGAGAGAGCCCTCGGTTCCTGATGGAACCGTGCCTGATATACTTCATCTGGGGCTAAAACTCTTGTGGGCAGCAGAGCTGGGAATCAGATTCAGTGTGGTTGCTAGGGCTGAGCTGTAACCACTAACCTCCATCCTGACCCTCAGACTCTGAGTGGAACAGAAAGAGGTTAGATAGCAGGAAGGACTTACAAGAGGGAATGAGCCCGGGATACTAGGCTCTGTTTATAGAAGACAGAACAAACAAAGATAGTTGAAAGATGTAAACAGAGGGAATGTAGTAGACTTTAGGGATCGGGGAACTAGGTCTTATGATTGTGGCTTGGGGAGAGACATGGGATGTTTAAAGTTGGCCTGGGGATTTCAATCTCACTCAAAGACCCTTTGGGAGGAGCAGAATCCCAGAGATCCAAGCCCGGAGGAGCTAACAGACAGTGCGGTTGGTGCCCCAAAGCAGCCCCTGTCCGATCCAAAAGTTTTGACCTGAAATGAGGTCAAAGAGGAGAAGCCCTGGGGCTGACCCTGGGTCCACAGTGACCACACCACGTGAGGGGTGTTCTGCACTTTGTCCCAGGGTCAAGCAGCCCTGAGCAGGTGGCCCATGGGTGACAAAGCTGGAGGGACAGTAGGCCTACAGGATCCAGGCCTCCGCTTCGTGTCACGAGAGCCCCCGCAGCCTTCGGCGCGCGCGCTTGCATGCGTTCTCGGCTCGTGCCCTGCCCCGCGCGGGGCTCCTAGAGCCGGACCAGCCCGACGGGACAGAGATAGGCCTGCTGCCCTTAGGGTTCGAGAAGTGCGCCTTCGTGGGGACAGGAGGAGGGGAGGGTTGTGGGTGACGGAGGAGCTCCCACGGTGCTTTCACGGAGGCCGCGCCAGAGCTGAAGGGAGGCGGGGGCGGACTGGCCAGCGTCGGCGCACGCGCACACGCGCCCTACGGGGACACACGGACCCAGAGACACGCCAGTTGCAGCCGCCGCGCCGCACGCACGACGCGGCCGGCCTGCAGGGGGCGCCCGAGAGCCGCCCCAGGGGCGCCGCGCGCGCCCCGCCCCCGGCCCGGCCCTGCCCCTGCGCGTCCAGGACCCCCAACTTCCCCCTGCGCGGCTCTGGGCGGACGGTCCTGGGGGTGCGGGGGCCCTGCGCCTGGACCCTCGCCTCCGACCGCCCCGCCCGCGGCCCCATTCGGGGGGTGGCCCTGCGTGTGCGCTTCCAGCAGGTTCCTGGACTTTGTGCACGTGCCCTCACGGTGATTTGCGCGGACACTTGCGCAATATTCAAGCCTCAGAGGTGCAGCCGCTCCACGCCCCCGCCCCCGCATGCTGCCAAAGTTTCTGTGTCTCCGAAACGACCACGCTGTCACAAACAATATATGCCCCCCTTTTAAAAATATAGGAACATTTTACTTTGTTTTATTTTTATGTTTTATTTTTGTTTATTTGACAGAGATCACAAGTAGGCAGAGAGGCAGGCAGGGGTGGGTGGGGGAGAAGCAGGCTCCCTGCTGAGCAGAGAGCCCGATGCGGCTCGGTCCCACGACCCTGGGATCATGACCTGAGCCGAAGGCAGAGGCTTAACTCACTGAGCCACGCGGGCGCCCCTATTTATTACTATTATTTTTAGTAATCTGTGTCCGATGTGGGGCTCAAACTCACAGCCCGTCAGAGATCGAGGTTCGCCTTCTGTACTGAGGCGACAGGGCTTCCGGAAGCTTCTGCGTCAATGCAAGTGGTAGCTGGGTACGGAACACCGCATTCTGTGCCCCCTCCCCGTCCCCACCCCGCCATGGGCTTCTCGCATAGGAAGGGAGGCCGTCCTCTGGGGCACCATTTGGATTCCCTGAAGTCCGCGGTGGGAGCTGTCACATGCAGGGGAGGAAACTGCCCAGAACCAGCGCCCAGGTCGCTTTTGGTGTTTTGAAAAATTGTAGTAAAATATCCATAAGAAGAAACGGACTGTTTACCGTTTTTAGGCGTACAGTTGAGTGGCTTCCAGTACATTCATCATGTTGGGCAACCACAATAGTAGTTCCAACATGGTTCTCACCAACTCAACCAGAAACTCCGTCCCCATCCAGCACAAAGTCCCTGCTCCCACCCCCCAGGCCCCAATGACTGCCGTTCTGTCTTCTGTGTCCGTGGATTTGCGGACTCTGGGGACCTTGTGAAAGTGGAGTCACTCGCTGTCTGCTCGTGACTCACTTATTCCACTCGGCGTGTTTCCGCGGCTCCTCTGGACTGCAGCGTCTCTCCAGACGTCCTTTCTTCTTCAGGCTGAATAATACTCCATTGTGTCCAGGTCACACCTTGTTTATCCCTCTGTCTGGGAACCGGCCCTCTGGCTTTCTCCACCTTCCGGCTGTGGTGAGTGGTGCTGCATGGACAGGTGTGTGGGCCCATGGAACCTTCTGGAAAGGCCCGCCACCCTCCCTGCAGCTCTGGTCTTGCCTCTGGGGCCGGGTGGGCAGGTCCACCCTAGGGAGAAGAGAGACGGTGGGAGAGCCTCACATGGGGACAGGGTCTGGAAAGGGGGCTAGAGGGTGCAAACCTGGCTCGTGGCTTGACCCCCACCAATGTTCCCTCCTCACTCAGAGCGCAGGCTGAAGGCCTCATGAGGCCCTGCTCCTTCACAGTCCTCCCCCACAAATCTAGTCATGCTGGCCCTGGTGACGTGGGAA